TCCCGCATCGGGCTCCCTGCTCGGCAGGGAGTCTGCTTCTCCCTCTGACCCTCCTCCCTCTCATGCTCTCTCTCTCTATCTCATTCTCTCTCTCAGATAAATAAATAAAATCCTTAAAAAAAGAAACCTTGTTGTCCAGTCTCTATTTTAATGTATCATTGAACATTGTATCAAAAACTAATGATGTACTATATGTTGGCTAATTTAAATTAAAAAAATAATAAAAGATTTAAAGTGTTGTACGTGCATTGTTTGTTATATGTTGCTGTCTTTAGAAATGACTAGAGAGGACAGATAATTTAGAAATATTTGCACATTACGTCAGAAGAGAGTTAATAGTAGCCGTTACTATTAATACTAGTGGTATTAGCTGTTCCGGGAAAAGGCACTGTTTATTCATAATAACTAGATAATAGCAGCAAGATTGGAGAGGACAGCTCAGATAACATGAGTGTAGGTGTAATTATAATTTAAATGCAGTGGGGGGAATCTTAAAAGTTTTTAAGAGCTCCCAAATTTTAGTGTAAGGCATAATTTCTGTCATGTCTGTGACAGGAGGTATCTCTGGCCATATAACCATGAGGAGGCATCAGTCTTGAATTATTTATCATTGGAATGAAATATCCTTTTGAGAGAATCGTATCTTTAGTGTTAAAAATGTTTCTGTCATGTGTCACAGTGAGTATTCTGGTTATGTCGCATATTCCCGTTTTCACATCCCTCCCACTCACTCGGTTATCCTTAAGAGAAGGGGATTCTAAGTGGTAGCTAAGTGGTACCCAGTCTTTGAGTCTGTAATCCCTGTTTTTAGGATTTACTCACTCCTTTTGGTTGCTTTGTTTTCATGTTTTAGATTTCTTTCTTTGGGGAAAGGGGATTGGGTGGCTACAGGAGAAATGAGCCCATTTTGAGGCCGGTGATGTATTTTTGTTATGCTGGACAGAGTAAATGGTGCCCTCCCTCCCGAGCAGAGTTCATCTGTGAATGACGAATGAATGGTCTCTTTCCATCTTCCCAGCAGTCTGTCACATAGGCAAAAAACCATTGGTGCCGTTTGAACACTGAATTTCTCAGAATCCCAAGGGACAACAGAATGTGTATGTGAGCTGGCACACCCACATGCAAATTATGTCTATTGGTACCTAATATATGTAAATTTATGTGGCTCAGTTGACAAAGACACTATGAGTGGTACTCTTCCTGAATAGTGCTCTGTAACTAAAACGGAAATTTTAGTTATAGAGCACTATTCAGGAAGATTGCCACAATCTTGAAGTGCACCGATAGTCCTGTTTCCTGATGAATTTCTCTGACATTTCCAGCGGCACCAGAGGTGGAAGATTTTGGCACCTTCTGGAGTGAGTGCTGCCCAGCTCCCTGCTAACAGCTGTGACTGTTCCTGGTGTGGGAATGCATGATCAAGGACAGGGTGGCAGAAGACTCAGCGGAGGAGAGGAGTCTTAGTAAAGATTGGAGGGTGTTGAGACAAGGAAGGGAGTACTTTGGGAGAAAAGTTATCTTTGCCTTCTCAGGATTGTGCCCCTCTTTGTTCCCTGGGTCCCATCACATCTCATATTCAGGGACAAAGACTCCAAACAGGTTGAAGGATAGAAGGGCTCCGTCAGCAGAGTTTGCTGGGGGGTAGGCAGCGTGTGTTGGAGGTGGCCGGGTGCGCTGGGCTTTGCCTTTGCTCTGGGCACGTTGGCAGTGGGCCAGACTTCACTTGGCGGCAGCAACAGGGCTGTTAGCCCCACCTCTGTTGTCTTCACCTTCTGAACTTCCTTGGGCCTTGACGGAGGAGTCTCCCCATCTGTTGATAAGCAACCTGAATACTGTCTCTAGCCCTTGCTGGGCTGGGCACTGGGGCAGCTGCAAAGGAGGTCAGAGATGTGAGTGCGCTCCCGGGTGTGCTGCTAGCCTGGTGGGAGAGGCCCAGCTCGTGTCTGGAGAGCAGGGTGGGACCAGTGTGGTTAGCATTGCTTCCTGCAGGAGCCTGAACCTTTCTTGGACCTGGTTGCACAAGCAGGTGCGAGGTAGCCTGGAACAAGGCCTGGCGCACAAAAAAACCACGCAGGGAGATTTGTTGAGTAAGTGACGAACAAATGATTGCAGAGAGAGGTAGGAGAGAGCCTGGTAGGAAGGGACAAAGTACCTGAGCCTGGGCGGGCAAGACGAGTTGCTAGGAGAAAGGTAAGAAAGTGCAGGGCCAGGGCGCCTGGGTGGCCCAGTCAGTTGAGTGTCTGACTCTTGGTTTTGGCTCCGGTCATGATCTCAGGGTTTTGAGATCTAGCCCCGAGTCAGGCCCCGTGCTCAGCACGGAGTCTGCTTTGTCCCTCTCCCTCTGCTCCTTGCCCCTCCCCATCCCGTGCTTGTGTGCTCTTGATCTCTCTCTCTCAAATAAATAAAATCTTAAAAGAAAAAAAAGTGCAGGGCCTGGTGGGGAGGGCTGTGTGCACTGCGTTCACCTCTCCATCTGGGCAGGGGAGGTGTTGGGGCCTTTCGTCCGTGTGGGCTAGGGTAGAGACGTGTGTGTACGTGTGTGTGTGTGGAGTGAGGAGAGGTCCTCATCAAGCTCTAAGAGGAAAGGAAGGCATTGGTTGGGAATAGCTTCATGATTTTGCAAGAAAAGATTATCGTGTTTTCTTATTTCACATCGTTCATTGGAGCTCTGCCTATCCTGTTCAGGCGCTGGGGTGCTTACTAATGTGAATAAAGAGAGCGTCCTGGATTTCTAGGAGTTGACAGTTTCGCGGTGTAAACAGATGCGTAAACAAACAATCAGGATATGGTTTGATAAATTCGGCAAGAGACCGAGGCGGTTGCTATGGCAACATCAAGTTGCTCATAACAACGTGCGGGAGTGAATGGCTTGCTTGCCCAGGGTCTTGTGGAGAACCCAGTGGCCCAGGGATGCTGACACAGCACGGATGTGCCTGGCTCAGCCCCGACCTGGGTGCGCAGGTTTACCGTGCCGGAGGCTTACAGCCCCTCTTGGGCTGAGTCCAGGGCCTGCGATGTCTCTGGAACCAGCCAGAAAAATCTGGGCTGTGACTGGCTCCCCAGAGCGCAGTCCTGTGATGAGACTGCAAGCGGCTTTCCCTGGGTAGCTGCAGCCTCCCGAAGAGGAGGGGAGAGGGGGGAGGGCAGCCTCTGCAGGAGGACCCGGTTTCTGCTGAGAGCCAGGTTGCTAAATAGAGTGCCTGCATCTCCTGAGCTACTTGGGAAGGAGGGTGCTGGCGAAGAGGACGTTTCTTGTTTTCCTTCACGGCGGGGAGCAAGGGCAGGGCTGGGGAAAGCAGAGGGAAGGTGGTCGGGAGAACATCTGCAGTTTCTGATCCCTGGAGCAGCCCTCTCAGATCAGACAGGATCTGTGCCGGTCGCTACGAGGACAGAAGCCAAGGCGGCAGCAGCGTCTGTGGCCGAAACAAGTGCCAAGTGCAGGGCCCTGTCGTCGGTGTCACCAGCACAGGGCCGCAGGGTTTCGCGGGACCAGGGAGTCGTGGGGTGTGCAGGAGGCCCTCGGCCTGTCCCACGTGCTAGAGGAACAGGTCAGCTGCTTGCCTCCTGGCAGCACGAAAACCTGCCCATTTGTAGAAGGGAGATCACTGCCCAGGCTCGGGTTGGTCTGTGGTTATATGTCGGTCACTTTCCCTGTGCCACTTCCTTCCTCCTCCGTCTTACATCAGCGTGAGCAAGAGGTTTCCTCTTCCTGCCAGCAGGATCGACGGGTGCCGTTTCTGTCTGCTGGAAGGGGGTTCCGGCGTGCTTCTGCCCCTCCCAGCTCTCTGGGCGGAACTTGTCCCGTCCTGGGAGCCACTGACAGGCTCCCTTTGACTCCTGCCTGGGTTTTCAGGCTCTGCATCTTGTCCTGTGCTCTAACTTTCCCTAACTCCGCTTTCCTCTGACCTCACTCCAGAGGGACTTGCTTGGGCACTTCGATGAAGTCACGTCTAGGTCTGAGCCCCAGTTTTAATGGGTGTCTAGTGTGGTGGTGGTAGCCTCGGCTTTATTATGTCATGAACTAGGCCTGCCACTTGCTTAGCAAATGCCAATAAATGGTTTTTACTTGTATGACAAAGCTGCCTCCGTCTGGCGGCCCGGGCTCTGCCTGGTACCCTGTTCAGACACCTGGCTTCTTGCCCGGCTTGTATGGAGGACACCTGCCCTCACTGCCCACTCCTACCCGGCTTTTGTCGCCCCCTGCCTGTCTGAGGGCTGTGTTCTTGCTCAAAGACGCCCCTGAAGCAGGAGGCCTGCCTGGCTGGCTGGCCCTCGGGTTTCCCCAGCATCTGACGTCTGTGACCCCTCTTGCACGGCTCTTTGGAGACTTCCTGCACTTCAACATTTTGCCATCTTAACATCTTGGCCATCGATGGGGTTGGGGGGGCATGGGGGGTCAGTTTTTGTTTGTCTTCTATCAGCCTTGCCTTTTCCTGCTTCAGGTGGGAGTCAGAGGGGCCGTGCCCAGCTCCGTCGAAACTGGACTGGTGCTCCCTTTGGGAAAGTGCTCTGTGAATCCACACGGCTTGCCCCCAGGTGGCTACTAGTCCTCTAACCTCTCCTGCTCGGACTCCTCTCATGCCCACAGCTGCAGTGGGTACCGGTCACTTCTCAGCCCAGTTATCCAACGGCCTCCGCGCCAGTTGCAGTTACAGAGCTCATCCTAAAACAACGACTTGGCCTTTAACTTTGGAGCTTAAAACTCACTGTGACGCCCTTGATTTTTTGGCTCATGACCAGACTCTGGCCGCTGCCTGCCTCACCAGCCCATCCCCATTCTGCCCTGCAGCCACACTCCACGCATCACCCCACCTCGCGTCCCTATCTTTTTATGAATGTTATTCCTCTGCTGGTACAACCGCTTCCTCTTCATCTTGTCTCTGCCTGTCCTAGAGAGTTCAGCGGGGCATCTTTGGAGGCCATGCTTGGTCCTCCTCCCGGCCATGCCCAGCCTCTGTGGCAGCCCCCTCAGGGTGGGCAATCAGTGAGTGGCCGGTCACACCACACCCGCCTCCGGCTGACCGTGGCCTTGCTGAGCACAGACACCTGGCCTCTTCGTCTGACGGCGTGCACTTGGGAAACACTCGCTGAAGGAGTTAGGGCGGCTGGTGTTTTGTCAGTACCACCCTCGTTTTCCTGAGAGGGAGAGCCCTGTGATGAGGGGCCCTGCCTCGTCTCCTCTGACCTCCTCGGTTCCAGCCACGCTGCGTCCTGGCTGTTCTGCACACGCATCAGCGTGCTTCTGCCTCCGAACCTTTGCTCTGGCTGTTCCTTCTGTCCACAGCTGTCTTCTTCCCTGCCAGGTGCTCCACGTGGCTCACTCCTTTTTCCTCTTTCAAACATCACCTTCTCAAGAGGCCTGCACTGCTCATGGTTTACACCAGTTCCCTGACCCTCCTTCCTTTCCCCCCACAGCATGTACCACCTCTTAACCTAGTAAGTTCTTTATTCGTCACGATTGTAATGTCTGTCCCCCCCCCACATTAGATCGTAAGCTTCGTGGGGTAGGAATTTTTGACTCTTATTTAATGATGCATCCCCAGTACCTAGAATTGTGCCTGATGCATAGTACATGTTTGTTGAATGAATAAAACTGGCCGGCAGGTACAGCTTAGATCGTAGCAATGACCCATGGTGTTTCAGGAACAGTGGCATTGCCGGTTCCTAGAAGTCTTGTTTCTTTGGCCAAAGGGGAGAGACTTGATTCTTAGATGGTAGGGTTTGAAAGCTGAATTAGTGAGATAGATCCCCTAAAAAAGTAAGAGCATGTTTGAATGGCTCAGTCCCTTGGGAACTGTACTTGGGACCTGTGAAGAAGGGGTTGAGATTGCCTTGCTGCTCCTGAGGAGGGAATTCAAGGGTGAGATGTGGACCAGCCACCGTCTGTTCTGTTCCAGCAGGCTCCGAGGATCACCTGCATTGTTCTAGATCGCTGCTCTTTATGAAGGGACAATGCTGCCAATCTGTGCTCCTTATTTTATTTATTTATTTATCTATCTATCTATCTATCTATCTATCTATCTATCTATCATCTGTCTATCTATCTATCTAATCTATCTCAGTGGGACCAAAGTAGCTCCACAGCAGAGAGATTCAGAGATGTGGCTTTGAAACTGTGTGAGTCATCCAATTATTGTCCGTGATGGCTGGGAGATTAATCCCCCCGGGGTTGCTTTGGTGATGGCGATCGATGTCCATGGAACAATTACAAGGGAAGCGGGTATTATGTTGGGACTTTGAAGAGTCTCTCAGATAGTGAAGGAGTTGAGAAGCCATGGTGACCTCCTGCCCTGTCACCCTGTCTTCCTGTTTGTAATATTGTCTTACTTCTTAATGTCAGGGTCTCCAAAATAAGCTAGTCAGGATGGATATCCGGGTTATGAGGTTACCTTGATGAGAGGCCTTTATGCTTTTTGAAGGTTTTTCTTTCTAAGGCCCTGGTAGTTCTTTAGTGTTTCTGATCTCTTTTCAGAGACAGCTTTTTATAAATTCTTCACATTTCACTCTCACTTGTAAAACTTGTGTGGTGACCTGGGACCAATATGCTTTGCAGGAGCAAAGGGATGGATGAGAAATGGCCGGGTCCCAGGAGGAATTTAGCGCTGTTCCTCCGCGCATGCAGTGGTTAGAGCATCTGCATTGAAGCCAGTTGGATCTGGACTCAAACACTGATTTCAGCCTGTTAATACTTGTATGACCTTGGGCAGGGAGGCTCGTTCACTTTTATTTAACAGACACTTACGTAACACTTACTGTGTGCCAGGCACTAAGTGCTTCCCAAAAGTTAGGTGTTTAATCCTGACGACTCTGTGGTTCGGTACTGTTGTTGTCTGTGTTCGAAGAAGAGGAAACCCGGACACAGAGGTGAAGTAGCTTCCCCAGGATTGCTGAGCTGGACAGAATAAAGCCCGAATTGCAACCCGGGGCACTCAGGCTCTTGAGCTCATGCTTTCCTCACGATGCTATCTACCTGCCTCTCAGCTTTCGAGTTTGAGCCTCCCAAATCCATAAAATGGGAGAACTGATAATAATACTGCCTGGGTGCAGGATTGGTGTGGGAATTAAATGAGAAAAGTCACGGACATTTAGCCCAGAGCTTGTCCCATGGAGAGGACTCATGGCGACCGGCGTGGCTACTGCAGTCTAGCGGAGGGAGATAAGATGGTGCACAAATTCTAATACCAGGTAAC